GGTGAAGATGGGAAATTACTTTTCTGGCTTCTACTTTGGGGGGAGGAAAGGTAAAATGGAACAAATTCCTCAAACATAGGTAGTATATCTAAAACCTGCTGGTGGTCACATGTTATGACAAAACCAGAATTAGTGTTTCAGTATTTTCAAATGGCTATTGTTGAGCTCCTGATAATTATAAAGAATCACTATGGATTCACAGGTGAATGAGGAGGGCACCTACTCAACTTCCTTAGCCAGTAATGTCTGAGCCCTCCTCCCAGGAAAGTGTTTCTGAAATACCGTCCAGTTTGACTGCAATCCCGCCTCTGGGCTGATTATTCCATGTCCCTTGGAAGCAGAGCTCAAAGCTCTGTGCCCAGTGGGTGGCTGCATAATTGTTTTAGTTCATTTGTTAAACATAATTGTTTTTCCTGACTCCTGCCCTCCTCCTTTGATATATGCTCTGCAACTGACTCCCTAATGGATATGATGAGTGCTCCCCACAGCGTGCAAGGGAGGGGGTGTATTACATAGTTAAGCTGGGGGCATGTCTCCATCTCATATTACAGGGACTTAAGCTGTTTCTCTGACACTGTGGTGTGGGGGGGCTAAATTCTTGAGCGAGTTCTTTGGTAGTTTTCAAACTAATTCTTATCTGTCATGTGCTAAATGAAAACTAAAGAACAGGAATGAAAATAGAGCGCACAGAGAAGCTGGGGTACAGTGAGTGTGTGACCATCCCCTCCCCCCAACCTTTACTACCATCCCAGGAACGGGCAGCAAGTGCTTAAACACAGATGTCCCATGATGGGTCACAGACAAGCCCTTGGCAGCAGGTCAGAACATATTCTTGAGTACTCCTGTGGTCACTTGAATCCTACACATCCTTCTGGAAAGCTCAGCATATTGGAGACACTCTCTCATCTACTCTTGCAGTGCTTTCTATATAATTTTTATTCCCAACTCCAGGAGATTTAAAGACTTTAAAACCTATGTGCTCTTAAGCGTTCAGGGAAGGTGCCAATGAGTCATTCTTCTCCTGGCCATATAACCTAGACTGCCAATAGTCACAAGGCAGATTCAGTTATATGTGACAGGTATTTAAGGTTGGATTGGTCAATATGGTTTAGACCCAGGACCCAAATAGGATCTTTTTATTAATTTATGCATGTAAGAGCTGGGATATAAGCCAGAGGTGGGGGGTGGGGGAGGTGAGAGGGTTCACCAGAGACAGGGTGGGGTGCAGAACTGAAATACACTGCTGAGGGGAGCAGCAGGTGAGACAAAAGAGGTCTGCTGCTCTATGTCGGTCAGCCTCCTGGTCGGGGATTGAGCTCTTGCTGCAGTGGCTGGCAATAGCCTGATAGTGCTGAGACTTTAAACCCTCTGTCTCCAGGGAGGTCCCCAATTAGGGTCTTGACTTACTTTCTGCCCTCAGATTGAAAAGTGGTACCCAGGGGACAACCCACGTGGCCCGGCTTAACCTTGCTCATACCAAATAGATGATTTATTCTGCATCTTCTTTTAGACATTTTATGGTTTGAGCTCTTATGCTAAGCCTGTGATCCATTTCTCTCTGGCATGAAATAAGAATGGTGATTCATTTCCCCACACCTATATCCAGTGGTGGAAATGCTTTCCAGCCAGTCTCAGAGAAGAGCCAGTTCCAAGTCTTTCCTGATGTCTAGCTTGCAGTAACCCAGCACTGCTTTTTCCTTACAGATGAGAAATTATCCAAGAAACTGAAAGAAAATTCTCAAATTTTGCAATATTCTCTACTGAGTTTTCAATCAGTTTTAATTGCAGTGCATGCATTCTATTCCTTCTTTTTTTCAATAGCTTTTAAGGTCAAATCACTTTGTTTTCTAAATTAAACCTGAAAAAAATTAAAAGACAGCAAATTCAACCATTTGTAAGAGTTCCATTAAGTGCTTGTTCTTTTATTCCCAACCCACCTTGGTCTGATAAAGCCCCTATCTTTGTGTGTGAAAACAGACAAGTCATCTCTCCCCCATTCTCTGCACTAGAGTGCAAGGGCTCATTTCCCCCACAAATCGTGGGCATTGTAGAGAACAGAGCAGCCGTGAATGTGGTGCATTTTTGGAAACAGGGACCTCTAATGTGGCCTTGGCATCTTTGACTTTTAACAGTTGACTTGACAGCAACATATGGACCAGGTTGGTTACACAATTGCTCCCAAGGAGCAGAGGTTTGTTATTGTCATTGCTGTTTTATGAAGAGTCAAAAAAAAAAAATCTGGTATAAAAGCAATAGACCTCAAAATGCAAGTAGCAATGCTTATGATATATGATACACCATGTATACACAGTAGGTGCACATGAAACACACGCATGATGGGGCCAGGAGTGGGGAGCCAGGAAGCCACCTCAAAGCCTGAGAATGCATGTATTTCCCAGAGTAAGACATCACAATTGTCAGACACAATCATCTCATAAACCACCAAGCAGCAAGGATGCCAGTTAAACCATGGCAGCTCATAGACTGTAAGACGGGTTCTGATTTCAAAATATTAGAATGTGGGGGGAGAGGGGGTAGATGCAGTAGTCCGCGTGGCAGCAGCCCACAGGCTGTCCACAAAGCTTCCCACATCCCGTGTCAGTGCCCCGGGGGCTCTCGCTCACACTCTGCATGACTACTAGGATATGGCGAAAAGGAGCTAAGTCAAATCCAAGGTTAAGTTATAAAAGACGCTGGGGCTTGCTTCTGTTCTCTCTTCCTCCTCATAGGCTCTCGCGGACACTTAAGAGGCCCTATCAAGACCCACGTGACCAGGAGCTGAGGACACCTGGACCCAGAGCCAAGGCCTGCCAGTACCGTGAGTGAACTTGAGAGGGGTCGTCCAGCCCTGAGACTGCCGCGGCCCCAGCTGGCAGACGGTGATGGCAACTCCACAAGAAGCCCTGAGGCTGAAGCGCCGTCTACGCTGCGCCCAGATGTCTGTCCTTCAGCAGCTGTGTGAGGTAACAATTACTTAATTACATGTTTTAAGTCGCTGACCTTGAAGGTGATGTCTCACACAGCCATAGAGAGCTAATATTAGAGTCAAGGAGGGCACTGCACTGTGTGTGTGTTGGTTAGTGTGAACCCACACCTCAGAAACAGGGAGGCCATCTGAGTCCAGGTCTCCCCAGAAGCCCTTTAGACCTTGTGGTGCCTCCAGCTCTGGCAGGGAGACTGGAAACCGGTAATCACATGGGATTTGGCCAGTGGTTGACCTGATCACAGATGAGGAAGCATTAGAGAAGCAAGACAGGGAGGTACTGAGCCAATATAAAGTGCTTAGCTTTCAGTGCTGAGGCAACTGTCCACCTCAGCCCTGGAATAATCTATCTTCTTGTTCACTTGGAAGCCAACTCTAGAACAAAGACCCACCGCGTTTCATAGAAAGAGCTGAGTGGAATACTTTCCCAGTGAGAAGCTCAAGGGTGGGTGTGGATCCAGGCATTTCTAGGGTGCTAGAGTTAGGGGAGGTTATAGCTGGCCATTGGTCCAGGAGGACTCTGATGGCCAGAACAAGCATTTTGACCTTGTGCAAGACACAGCAGCCACAGGGATCTGGGCATCAGAAGCCGATGATAATAGCAATGCTTAGGAAGTAAACTGACCATAGCTCGTAATATGAATTCAGTGGGGGAAACAATGGAAGTCACGGCTTATCTCCAGGGTGAGGATACACTTTTGTGTAGAAGAATCCTCAACTAGGTCAGCACCAGAGGTGCACCTAATGTCTTCATTCCGCTGTTCTCACCCCAGTGAGAAAACCCTCTTCCTATGGCCACTTGTGCCTTCATAAAAGTCCTCCTGTAGGGACATTCTAGGGCCTGATGCCCCCCAGAGCTGCTCCCGTAGCAGACATCCTGAGACCTGGGCCAACATGGGACTGTAGCAGAGTTTAGGGTACATGCCAACCTTGCAAAGGAAAGGCAGCAGCCTCCCCCACATCCGGAAGGAGCATCAAAAGGAAGAGTCGGACTGCTGATTCTAGATGCGACTCTTGGAAGAGCAAGGATCCCTGCAGAGACTGATGTGCTGGAGGGACGTAGTGCTGAAAGGCATGGAGCTTGTACATCTGCAGGGCAGAGAGGCAATTCCTCCCCACCTCTGGATTCCTCTGGGCTACTCAGCAATCAAAGTAACAACAGATAATAGAAGAAAAACTAAATTGAGCTACATACCGATGGAGAATGCACATGGATGTGGATTCTGAAGTCCGAGCGGCAAAATGAGGCTCTGTCTATCTCTATACCTGTCTCTATATTTTGAGACAGGGAATGGGATAGAGTCTGCAGCTTTAGGGGGAGAGGTAGGGGCCGCAACCTGATGCGGACGGTCGCCCACATAGCAAAGAGTAGGTGCTTGGACTACCTGTTGCCTTGCCAGAAAAATAGGTTTCTCTGACAGGAAGGTTATTTCTGATGGAAATTCTAATTCTGACTAAAACACCCAGTCTTCATGCTTGTAAGCAGTTAAGGGAAGGGTAAAAGTTTTTCGTCAACCTGCAGATTTCAACCTCGGCTTAAAATACCCATGTGCCAAAGTGGCACGTCTTGGGAAGGTCTGTCTGAACACCTTCTGCGGACAGGCCTCTTCCGCCCGCCGGTGGCGCATCATCCCCACCCCACGCAACCCCCCCAGGCTCGCAGCGTCTCAGTCCACCGCTGCCTCCATAGCGGAAACCTCAGTGTCCACCTGCATCAAAGAGGAGTGTCCATAGATCAGCACATGGTTTCTTAGAAAGGAGACTCTCAGTGGGGTGGTTTTGCTCATTTGTTTATAAGTTAAAATAGAAGAACTTGATCTAACTTACAAAAAAAAAGTCTTTTTTGTGTATGGGTAAAAAAAAAAGGCTCATGTTTAGTTTACTTTTTGTGTCTATTCCTAGAGGAAAGTTAGCAGGTAAACTGTAATTTTGTAAGTTTTATTTACGAGTACCGAAGGATCATGTTATGTATTCAGGATTATTTGTTTACATCCCTATAATCATTCTACACTCGTCCAGATTTATTCACTTCTATTTTGAAATGTCACGCGCCTAAGAAGGGGAGAAATCTTCCCACTGCAACTCTGCCATCCATTTCCTTCATCTCGTGGCTTTGCTCGTTTCCTTAGAAAGTCGCAGTTGACTTGTGACACTTCATGCACCTGGGAAGAAAGGGAAAGTCATTTTGTGCTTTACTCACATATGAGTCACATCTCTGTTTACAAGATTAATAGTTCAGCTTTATTTATCAACCTGTGCATTTTATTAAACATCATTTTCTTTGCTTTAGGACCCACAAAAACAAGCCCTTAGGGACGCTCTTTCTGGCAAGATGGCTAATTACCCAAATCATCCTTCCTGCTGAAAATAGCTTAGGAGGTTGAAAATCAAAGATTTCTTGAAAGCACTAATGAGCTGGCAAGAAACCAAAAAATACTCTGGGCGAAAGGCAAGGGAAAGTGAGACTGAGAGAAGCCTGTGGAATCAGCTCTGAGCCAGGGAACTAGCCAAGCTGGTGAAGCTGAGCTTGTTTTCCCACGGGGGGAGGGGGGAGAAGGGGGGGAGACCCGAAAACAGGAGACACAGCCTGGGGCAGCTAAGTGCTGCCGCTGGAGACTCTCCGCACAACGCTGGGTGTCAGAGAAACGCACCTTTGGTGTAAGCTGGCCTGAAAGACACCCGCCTCTCTCCCCTGTTTGTGCTGATGCTTCTCAAACCTGGCCAGTCAGAATTACCTGATGAAACTTTGAAAATTTCACTGACTTGACCTACCCTTTAGTCAGTTAAGTCTAAATCACCACAACAAAAAATGACAGGTGAGAAACTAGAATAAAACTTTGTAATTTAAATAAGACAAAGATTTACTATCCATGAAGTAGAAGTATATATTCTCCTTAGAATCAGTAAGGATTTTTAAAGACTAATAGATAAAGCTATGAGGTGATAATTCATCAAGAAATAAGACATGACCATTGAATTTCAAAAGATATTCAACTTCTCCAGTAACTAGGGAAATGCAAATAAAATAACAATGAGAGGTTATTTCCACTCACAAAAATATTTTTTTAGTGGATTAAGAAAAAGAAAATAACTGACAATCTAATTTTTCCTGGGTAGGTACAAATTGGTTCAGCATTTTTAAGGAGCTGGCAATATTTAAACATAATGAACATATGTCACTAAGCCTGTAATCTAGTAATGCCACTCCTGAGATTCTTGTGTGCAGAAATGCACACATAAAAGTGTGCGCAGGTAAGGAATTGATTGGTGATTTTTTTTTTAAAGGAAACTGACATCTCCATTAAGAGAAATGGATAAATAACTAATGGAATAAAGCATTGCTCAATTATTTTAAAAGGAAGGCAAAGAAATACATCTCATATATTCTTCAGTGAAGAAAGCAAACAAGAATATTATGTACAATAGGACCATGTACGTGTTACATTTGTGTGGGTGTTATGTTATTTTGTGCATTGTTCTGTGTATCTCCTATCTCAAGGCACTCAGATCGTTAGTAGTTTCATGCATTGGTGATTTTTGCAGGCAGAAAATAGAGGTTGTTAGAAGTTAATAAACTCACCAAAGAGATTATACTAGAATGTTCCTTTGCAGGTGAGAAAAGAGGAAGAATGACTTACAGGTAACAAGCATCCGGAACAAGTGAGATATTTCCCTCTAACTGAAAAGAAGTAGCAGATAGGGCATTAGGCCCATGGGGAAACTTGATATTGCCTCAGGAGTGACGCACCTCAGCAGGAATGACGCACCTCAGCAGGAGTGGCGTCTGCTGTGCCTTGTGGGACTGGGTCGGGGAGCCAGGGCCTGAGGTTGTCAGTGAAGCCAGTGCCCCTGCTTCAAATGAAAGGAAGCTGTGGACTCGCAGAGCAGACAGTCATCTCCCTGGTGGGCAAGGGCCCTGGGAGCCCCTTTTTACCACTCTGGGGGTAGAAAATCCCAGTGATGCCATTTCTCCCGGATTCAGGTGTGATTTAATATTTTAAAAAGTAAAGGACTCTATTGTTTCATGTGACATCTAAATTGGAGAATCTGGTCTCTGTTTCCAGAGAGGAAGTACTTGTGTTATATTTGTGAGCAGATAAGCTCTCAGATGTTATCCCTGAGCAAGGGAGAGAAATTGCTTCAAGAGGTAGGAAATTTAAGTTCACTCTCTGGCTTAGCTATTATCTGCTGATGTTTCTCACAACCTCCTAGTGACTCAGAAATGCTAGCTAAGGACATGTCTCAGAAAAGCAGAAATTGGTCACACGTGAGCACAGACTAGTTTCCTTCAAACTGAATTCCTCAGACTGAAGGTGGTGAGGCTGATGGCACCTTCAGTGCAGCTGTGAGGAGCAAATCCTATTTTTTAAACAGTAATCTGTTTGACCTCTACAGTGATGTATTTACTTAATACAAGCCAACCTTGCAAGTAAATACCCACCCGCTCACATTTGATGCACAGCAAGATGTGAGTCTAGAGTGCAGTGATTTCAATCCAGGTGATTTAATTTGGATCAGTTTAAGTTATTTTATAACCAAACCATATGGCCCATTTGGTTTGCTGAAGGGGAAGTAAATGTTCTTTTAAATGAAACTGAAAGAGCAATGCAGCAACTTCAAAGAGTTCTCTGTATTTTCTCCACAGCTTTTGCAATGGCCCCTTGGCGGGTCAGCACCCGCCCTCCACCCCATCGCGGCAGGTGAGGGAAGCTGTGTGGCAGGCCCTGGGCAGCAGGCCGGGTCCACCGGACAGACGGCCTTGCCCGAGCTCAGGCGGTGCTTCCCGGCAATAAAGGAAAGCTTTAGTTCACCTTCTGAATTGCATAATTATTTATTGTAATTATTTATTCTGTACTACTTATTATTTATTCATGTACTGTTTTACTAAGCTACTATGAAATATATACAAAAATTGAAATTTAAAGAGCTAAAAATAAATCTAAATCAAAATTCTCGTTTTTTTTTTCTTTGCATTCAAATGGACCTTCATGTTCCCCCCATCACCTTAATATGCCTATTTCCATTCCTGTCCAAGTCCTGGGAATGGGATGAAAATGAGATGCCACTAATGATGATTTGTGTGGCAAGTGGCTCCTGGCCTCCAGCACAGCGTCTCTTGAGCTTTCATCCTCTCATTCAGGGAAGGATAACTTTATTGGACACTGGGACGCTGTGGTGAGAAAAGGACCGCATCAGTTGCCTGTCCAGAGGGGGCTCACAGCCTAGTGGGGTAGGGGGCAAGCAGTCACTGTTACAAGATGGAGCTTTGGAGGGCTGGCAACACAAGCCAAAAATGTCCCTGTAGAGAGGAAGACAGAATGGGAAGAGTAGAGAGGACTGGCGTAAGCAGCGCGAATGTCCTAAGTGCTCCTGGGGGTCTGGGAGTTAGAACAGAAGTCACCTAACAGGCGAGGCGACCTCCCCACAAGTCATACTAAAGTTACCCCGAAGCAGAAGCTGGAAGCGGCAACTCTGGCTCTTCCTGTTCCTACATCCCATCCACACCTGTGGCTGATCTAACTAGCAAAACATCCGGGTACTAGATTAGGCTCAGAATCTTAAAGTGCAAAGCTGGCCATGAAAGTAACAAAGTCATGTGAGTCCACCAAGAGGTCACTCAGAGCTACTTGGGTTCACATAGAATTCATTGGGGGTCATGGAGGTGTTTTCTGAAACTTAGAAAATTTAGAGAGTAAGAACTCAGGGTCCGCAGAGGGATCTAATGAAAACACTAAGCTGGATCATAAACAGGTCAATAGGTTCACTAAGAATTCATTCCTAACTACTTAGGGTCGTGAAAAGGTCACCGAGTTCACCAAGAGGTCATTCAGAGTAACTTTGGGTCTTAAGGATATTTTCTGACTGAGAAGAGGAGCTCAGGGGTCACAGAAAG